ACCGCCGCCGCCGAGAGTAATGTGCACTCGGGGTTGTTCCTCGGCATTCCTCTGCGCACCTCGTTTCTTCCCTCAGGTTCCAGGGAGTCCTGTGCTAACCCTCTTGTTCCTCAGCAAGGCTGGTAGTGGTCAGGCACACATTCCACATGCTGCTTCTCTGCCGTGTTTTTCTTTCTCCTTCTATTTATTTATTTACTTATTTATTTTCTGTGCCAGTACTGGGGCTTAACTCAGGGCCTGTGCACTATCCTTTAGCTTTTTATCTATACCTTCATTTCTGATGGTTGCTGGTTAATTGGAGACAAGTCTCTCAGCCTTTATTTATTTTTTTTGCCTGAGCTGATCAAACTCTGACCCTCTGATCTCAGCCTTCTGAGTAGCTAGGAGTTCAGGCACGAGCCATAAATTCCCAGCTATCCTTTCTCTCTTTAGAACTGTAGTTATATCTTTGTCTTTTCTTCAAGGATCTTCATTGTACTTTCCTACTGATAGCTAATTTTTTTTCAGATGGTACTATGAGTAATTTTTGTGACATTTTCAATTTTAACTATTTATAATTAATTTTTAACATCATTTAAAAGTATCTAGGAGTTTCATTGTGAGATTTACACGTATATAATGTGCGTTTATTAATTTTTTTCCCTCTGTTACTCTTCCTTAACCTTTATTCTCCTTATTTTCTTTTTGACTTTTATTGTGGTGCTGGGGGAGGGGGTCAAACCTAGGCCCTCATACTCGGTGATTGCTCCGTCCACAGCTGCACCATGGTTGTGGGGCTATTCCTTTGGATTTTCTTTCCTTTTCATTAATTTCTCCAACCATCTAACTAGAGCAAAGATTAATGACAGACTGCTGTATCTGCACAGGCAGAGATCTGATCATTAACAAACTAAACAGGGTAATTAGGTATACAGTTGGAGCGCACTGTGTGGCTGAAATTAGCAATGTATAATTGGGCCTCATTTCACTGCAGGAGAAAATCACTGAGAGAATTTTATTTACACGAGGAAAATGTCTTGATGAAATTGCTTTCAGAGAATTGAAACAAATATATGCCCAAGTGACTCCTTACTTACCGAGGCAGCCAGGGTGCTAGCTGAGTCTCCATATGCCCCGATATTGCGGAGAGAATGGCTTTAGTTCTGGTCCAGTAACTTCTTCCAGGAAGTTCGACATCCACACTGGGTCATGGGTTCCAGTCTCAGGATACCAGTCTCCTTGGCTGTCTTTGTGGACATGTTTTGAAACCAAAGAGGACCCCATAAAGGCTAGGCGAATTGATGAGGTGAGGCTCTGCTTCTCAATACCATGCTTTCTTTGTCTGATCCTAAATTTGAGAAAAACCTAAATAAAACTAGTGTCTTCACTCTCCAAGCCCTCGCTGAGTTTAGCAGTGGGCTAGGTCAGAAGGTGGCAGCGCACTGCCTTGTTCCCCCAGGTTGCTGTCCTGAGGGAAGGCCGTACCAGCACCCCAGACCAGCATGCCGAGGGGGATCTAGGAGATGGGTTGTATGAGGGAGGCATTCGGAGGGGAGGGACACAAAGACCAAGATCAGCATTCAGAGTCTCCCTTCCTGCTTCCAGCCATGCCCAGGAAGTGACCAGCCTGAAGACCAAGCAAAATCAAAGGCTCTTCAGACACAGAGCTCACCAGTGCAAATATCACCTTCTCTCATCCCCTCCCATAGAGTTGGCTTGGGCCTTCTGTGGTTGTGTCAGGGGGTTGACACCTACGGATAGCTTTTGCAGAAGCAATTTCGTCTCTAAAAGTAGCACCCAGTAGAGTCTTCATGTAAGGTGTTCAAATGTATGACAGAAGTGAAGCACAGTTCTTTTTCCCCTAACCCACACATGAATTCTGACTGAGGTACCGCTGCGAACCTTTTGGTGGATATCTGCTGGTCGGTCTTCTCTGTTTATTTATAGATGCAAATGTGCACATACTGTCCCATTACCTTCGCACCTGATATTGTTGGTTGGTGATGGTGATGGTGTCTTGGACATCTGTGCTCGCCTGTCCTATTACTGCAGAGTGTGAAGTATCCTAATGCACTTATTTACCCCTACAATTCCCAACCCTTCAAAGGCCTCTGCGGTGAAGCTGAAATGACCACTTTACGCCCAGCTTTCTCTGTTCATCTCTCACACCAGTCCCCTTCTCAGCCTTTCAAGTAGCAAAGATTGCAGGTGTGAGCCACCAGCACCCCTGACTTCTTTAGACAGCTATGTTTCCTTCCCTGCTCCTCAGTCTTTCAGACCCGTCCTCAGTGTCCCTTCACCCACATGCTGCGGCTACTGGGTTTAAATGCTTCTCTGCTCAGAGCATCTGGGCCTCGCTGCGGTCTTGCACGGTCTTCCAACACTCTCCCTCACGCTTGCTGTGGCCCAGAGTCAAGAACCCCACAGGGAGGGCAGAGCACGGAGCCCGCCTGCCAGGGCTTCCTCCTGGCTCAGATATTTGTAGTGGTTTAAACAAGGAATCACCTACACTCAGCCCTTGATTTTCTCATCAGACAATGGGATCCTTCTCTTGGAGCTTTGGGAGGATTGTGAGGATATGGATGGAGCACTCGTGGCCCATACTGAGCGCACAGCACCTACGGGCTGTGACCCGGAAGTGTAGTAACAGTGGATCAGGACCCATCTTGGACCAGGGTGACCTCACACTAATTTGTCCCATCTACAATGATCTTGTTTCCAGTAAGGACCTGTTCTGAGGCCCAGGGGCTCAGCAATTCTGCATCTAAGTTCTGGTTGGGGAGGACTTCAGGCCATATCTGCAAGCTGGTTTAGCATCTATAGGGTTCCTGTTACGCATGGCTGCCACTCTTAGTCTTAGAAATCGGCAATGGGATCCTTTAGAAACCGTCATCAGCAGGCCATTCATTGTTCCAGTTAGATCTGCAGCCCCCACGTGCTGAGTCTAACCCTGGCATGCAAGAGGACCCACGTGCAAACCAAGCTCCGAGTCTGATTCCCTTCAACCCACCTCCAAACTAAAAGCGACCACTAGTGTTCCGGTCATCATTGGTGTATGTTTCTCTCTCTCTCTTTCTTTTTGTGTCAGTGCTAACTCAACTTTCCAACCAGGAGATGTTAGCTGAACATTTGCAGATGCCTCTCCTCTCCAGCACTCTGGGCTTAGAACTTGGGGTTCATCTCAGGCACCCCTCACTCCTTGCTGTATTACAAAAACGGTCTTGGAAGGCGCCCAGCTCTGTCACACAGTGTAGCTGTCAGCGAGAAGTGTTAGACACAGCTGAGATGGTTTTAGTACGTTGTGATACCATTTGGCATCTTATTAGAAAAACCATCTGCTCTGTTAATTCCTATTAGCACTGTTCAGATGGAAACAGAAAAACCAACCTGAGGACATATTTCTAAGTGAAAAATCAAGTATGCTTTAAAACTCTCTGTGAAAACAGCATCACCCTGATTAGATACGTCTGCACTGCTGTGGCCAAATGCATGCCATGCTGAACCTAAGAGAGGAAGACTGATGGGGCTCACGGTCTCCGGGGTGGCAGTCCATCCTGGCAGGGACGATGTGGGGGCCCAAGCAGCTTGCCCACGGTGGCACTCACGGAGGCAGACAGGAAGTGCCTGTGTGGACTGGCTTTGTCCCTTTCCCCGTCGGTTCTTTCTAGGCTCCCGCCCCTCTAGGTGGGAACACCCAGGTTCTAGGTGGTTAGACTTTCATCAGGCACCTAGGTCTTCATGGTACCTCTCTCTGACTGTGGCGGTGATCACAGCAACTGGTCAGGAAGGCAGGAAGCTGCCATCTTTCACATGAGTCAGACAGTCAAGGCAGGTGAATGCAAATAATGATTTCTCTTCCAGTTAGTAGCAGAAGGACTGCTGTTTCTATGACCATCCCTTTCCAGGAAAGGAAAGACTTTTTTAAATTTTTTTTATTGTGAAAATACTGTACAGAGGGGTTACAATTACATGGGCAAGATAATGAGTACATTTCTTATCAAGCATTGTAGCCTCCTCCTTTGTTTCCCCTTCCCATCCCTTCTCATCCTCCTCCTGCTCCTCCACCCAATCCTCCCCGCTTCCCCTCCCCCCACCAAAGTTGTAAAGTTCATTTTTCGACATAATGACTTGTACATCTCATTGTTGCAATGGGTCCACCTGTATCCCTATTTAAACGACTTGTTTTTCCCCTTCCCCTCCACAAATTATACCGACATCAAATACAGTGAACGCAGGGGTTATACTGTGGGGGAGGGACATACAAAGCAACAAAGAAATAATCTTATAAATGTGTTAGAAACAATCACATGGAAGAAAAAAAACATTTGAATGCATATCTTAGGGTTCATTTCCCTAACATCAACTTATCTGACCTTTTCTGCTTGTCTCAGACATATACTAGATATTGCAAATAAGGGAATCCATGGGACCTATGTTTCTTTGGGCCTGGCTTACTTCACTTAATATAATTTTTTCCAAGTCTTAAGGAAAGACTTTTGAATACAACGATTTGATCATTTTCATCTGCTATAACAAAATACTAGGAGTGGAGTGGCTCCAATGACAGAAATTAGCTGCTTATTTTACAGTGTGAGAGGATGGAAGTTCAGATCGAGGGGCCCTCAGATTCCTGCATCATCTGTTTTTCTAAAAAAAATATGAGGGGCTGGAAGGGTGGTTCAGTGGTAGAGCGCTTGCCTTGCATGCCTGAGGCCCTGGCTTCGATTCCTCAGCACCACATAAGCAAAAAAAGAAAAAAGCCGGAAGTGGCTCTATGGCTCAAGTGGTAGAGGGCTAGCCTTGAGCTGAAGAGCTGAGGGACAGCGCCCAGGCCCAGAGTTCATGCCTCACAACTGGACCCCCAAAAAAAATATGAAAAAAACTCTAAGCAAGTTGAAACATAGAAGAAGATTGGAGCCTTAAGTAAATTTTACCCCCTTGGCAAAACCTCAAGGACTTTGTCTGCAGGGCTGGGTTGCTTGTGTGGTGATCTAACCAAGACATCATGTCCTCTCTTTCAGGATCTAGATTTCTCATCCCATCCACGGGAGCCTTGTATATTAAAGATGTACAGAATGAAGATGGATTGTATAACTACCGCTGTATCACGCGGCACAGGTACACTGGAGAGACAAGGCAGAGTAACAGTGCGAGACTCTTTGTATCAGGTAAGAACTCATACAACGGTGCACTAGGAACACTCAACCAATACTGCAGAATTTAGGAAGCAAACAAAATCTTCATGGATTTATTCCCCACCCTCCCATAAAAATGCTTTAGGAATTATCAATCTGTTAAGCCAATATCAATGCAATGTAATCCAAATACAGATATTTAAGTGAAGTCATTTCAAGTTTGGTAACTCTCCATTCCTTTGGTCCAAAGAAACTTTTGCTTTCAGAAGCATTTCACCTACCCTCTATATTTGTGTATTTTTTATTAGCCACAGTTATAACCCCTATACCATGTTCCCTACCATGAAGAGGTCTAAGGACAAGAATAGATCATATGAAACTCGCTTTCGATCTGGTGTGATGTCTAATGCTTTTGGAGAAATCACCTTTATCTGAAAGTAAATGCTGCATCCTTCTAAGATTATTCTCTACTAAAGGAAATCTGAATTCCATATTGGTAAATAGATCACTTGTTAAATTTATGGAGTTATTAAGTTGAGAAAATATCAACAACATCTTATATAATCTTCATAATTGGCTTGTTATGGAGTCATCTGTGAAAAAATTAGCAGCCCAGGTACCGAGTGGTAAACTAATGTTTCATGGGCCGGTTGGTTTAGAATTGTGAAGTATCTATCCAGCTCAGGGTAGGCAAACTAAGCCTAAAATACTCATAACCTTTGTAACTTAGGCATATAAAGTCACTGTGCGTGGTGAGTTGTGTGTTCTGTTACAGTAGCCTGATGGAACGGACCGTTCCATTGTTTTGCTGCCAATGTTTGAGGATCTTGTTGTGTTTGTGATGAAGCTCAGAGGGGAGAAGAAATGGAAAAGCACAAGCTTTTCCTCCTAGTCTCCTCCTGGAGTTCTCTGTACTCCAGCCACCATCTCAGAATGGCTGATGTCATCCGCCTCTCAACAGCCTGTAGATCTCAACCACGGCTCCTTGATTGTTCTCCTGGCCTCACAAACATGTTTTCTTCTCATATTCTTCCATCAGTCACATCAGTGGCCGCTTCCTAGTGTTCTTCACTTCTTACATCTTATTGGGAGAATATATTAGAAAGTTCACCCTGGTGGCTACAGAATATGCTAGAAAAAGTCTCCCTTGCACTGTGGAGGAACTTGTGTTGAGACAAGAAGGGGATAAATCTCACCATGAGATCAATTTGAGGTTACAACAAGGCAACAGTTCATCCAGGGGCAAATGCAGGACCGAAGACCTTTGTGCTAAGTTTTCTGTTTTAAGGTAGCTCGATCGTTTTCACTCTAGATGGTTAAGTGGCATTGCTCAAGTTTCTCTCGCAAGGTGTTAGGTTCAGTGTGGTTCTCTCATGTTACAATCACAGAGCCACCATCAGAAGCATGTGGTCAGTGTGGAAAACATCAGACCCCTGTGAAGATAGGATGAGGACAAGCAGCGTCCTGTTCAGGATGGCCACACACAAGGCCCGGGCAGAGGAGAAGCCAGTGGGTGCGGGCACACCCTGGTCCCGCAGTGAGACCGGAGGGCCAAGTGATTCGCAAGTGTAAGAAATAATTCATGGTTTCAGTCACAGAAATTTTAACAAAGCGGTAGAGGGGAAAGATTTGTTGTTGGTGACAAAGAGGAGGAAGACACTGAGTACACTTTGTAAAATGTGCTCAGTATTCAAAGAGAAGAAACATGAATTTCATTTTAGATTTAACTTTATTTTCCAAATGTGCACATAGAGTTGGGCTGGGAAGGTGGCTCAGTGGTAGAGCGCTTGCCTTGCATGCCTGAGGCCCTGGGTTCGATTCCTCAGCACCACATAAGCAAAAAGAAAAAAGCCGGAAGTGGGGCTGTGGCTCAAGTGGTAGAGCTCTAGCCTTGAGCTGAAGAGCTGAGGGACGGCGCCCAGGCCCAGAGTTCAGGACCGACAAAAATAAATTAAAGATGTGCACATAGAGTGGGGGTGATGACAGGGAATTTTAGTTGCCAGGTTTTGATGTCTCCATACTTCTCCAGACACTGCAATAGATGGAACAGGGGCAGGAGAAGCTTACAGATGGCATCACGCAGGCGCTGTAATCCATGGAAACTCTAGCACATGGACAGGTGTGAGCAGATTACCAGCACACACAGGAGAGCAGAACCAGCAGCAGGACAGCGGATGTGAGTGGGGGGGCGGGCAGTGAAGGGGACAGTTCACCAGCCTCGGAACTACAGAGGAGTGGACAGAGGCCGCCGCCCAAGGCAGAGCCTTTCCCTGAGCAGGGAGCTGTGCCCCGCACAAGGCCGCGTGGGCACGGGCTCGCCATGGAGCCCAAGGCGAGATTGGGAGGAAGCATCCTGCTGGTGAGTGTGAAGGAAGGCCTCGCACAGCAACCAGGTGCTCTGCGTGTGGCCCTTCTGGGTGAACAGAACGGAAACTGCAGGATGGAGGGAGGAAAAGAGAAACTGCGGAGCCAGTGCTTGAAGAATCCCAGCCTGTGAAGCGCTACGGGAGAGGCAGACCAGAGGAGCCGGAAGTGCTGGCTTGAAACGGAAGCTAAGGCCCACAAACCACGACCACTATGAGAACCTTCCTACATCCAGGGAATTTGCATGCGTGTCAGTGTAACTCAACGTTAGGGAATTTCTATCCTTCACAAAGGTCCCTCCTTCCCATTTGCAGTCAGTTCCAACTTTCACCCCTAACTCCTCTGGATTTTGTTGGGTCAGACAGAAGTTCTGTTCTTAAGGGTGTTGGTGAGCTCGTGGGCAGGCTGAGTTCTGTTCCTGCCAGCCATGTGCTAGGGCCTCTGCTGCCCACTGCTGCGTGTGTCCGCTTTCATTCTGCTCCATGTTGCTCCACTGCATGGGGGAGTTGAACACATGTTCCAGAATTTATTCGTTTGTGTGTCTTTGGTGACATTGCTATTCAAGTGTGTTCCCAGTTTTGATTGAATTATTTCTTTTCATGATGAAAATGGAAACGATAATACAAGCCTTTTTTCCACAATAAGATTTGCAAGTATCTTCTCTCAGTAGTTCCTCTTTCTTGCTTAAACGCAGCTTTGAATATGCAAACGCATTTCATTTTGATAAAGGTTACTATGTCACTTTTGTCTCTTAGGTTTTCATGTTGTATCCAACAACTCTGGATGTTTTCCTTAGGTTTCTCCCCAAAGCTCTGTAGTTTTATAAGATCTTACACTTTGGTCTGTGATTCGCGTTGTGTTCGTTTATGCATGTGGTGGGAAGGAGTTTCCAGATTCCCCTTTAGAAAGGACTTTTCATTGTACAGCACTGTTATCCGGAGGGGGTCAATCATTTTAGTTGGAATTACCACTGGTTTAGCTGAAGATGTGGCCATGGTGTGATACTCAGCAGGCACAGGATCTGAGTTTTACCCTAGCGTAGAAAACGCACAATGATGTGCAATTTGCCCACCAATGAAGTTTGCTGGCTGGCTTGAGATGCCACTTGTCCTGCAAAACCATGGGAGCTATTTCTGTTCCTTCTGGACTATCTCTGGTGTCTCCATGGTCTTACGTTCTCCACCCCAATCCTGTCAGTGGCTCCAAGCGAGCAATTTTAGGGGGTTGCCCGTGATGTCATGCACCTGTGGTTTTGGAGTCTGGGCTGACCTTCTACCATCATATTTGTTGAGCGAATGAAGCAGATATCAGAATAATGTAAGAGAAGCTTAGCCCAAGCAGTGTAAATCCTCACTTTTTTTCCTGAAGATCCTCCAGGGTGTCTGTCACTTCCTGTGAGCCTGGCAGTAGCGAGGCAGTAGTGGGTGAGAATTCCCCAGGTCACCCTGGGAGTTGGCTGCAGGGATTTTCTGGTTGTTTCTAGACCCCATGTGCTGGGGTGTAGGTGGGGAGCTTCCTGTAAGGTGCTTTTGATAGCTAATCAAACACTAAAAAAAATTAAAGTGCATAAACACTTTAGAAATAAATAAGTGATACATTGTCAAATTTGAAATTCTTATTTTTGTGACATGGTCTTTACTGACGTTGGTTGGCTCTCTCTGCTGCTGTCACCCCTTTGGAAGGAGAGCGATGCTCTGACCTTCTCTCCTGGTCAAGACTCTCATCAGTGGCATCTGTATTTGTGTTATCTGGTGGGGAATGGAGGGTGGATGCTCTCTCCGGGCTTCAGTCCTCAGCAAGTTCTGAAGGGAAAGCATTTCTCTGAATAGGGCATTTTTCTCTTCAGGCTCCGGTTCAATAGTTGCTAATGTGTACGGGATTCATGACGCCTGCCGTCCTGACTCCTGCAGGACTCGGTCGGGCTCTGACGGTTTCCTTTCTCCTGCAGACCCAGCGAACTCGGCCCCATCCATCCTGGACGGGTTCGACCATCACAAAGCCATGGCTGGCCAGCGGGTGGAGCTGCCTTGCAAAGCCCTTGGACACCCAGAGCCCGACTACCGTTGGCTGAAGGATAACATGCCCCTGGAACTTTCCGGGAGGTTCCAGAAGACAGTGACAGGGCTGCTCATCGAGAACACCCGGCCCTCAGACTCTGGCAGTTATGTGTGTGAGGTGTCCAACCGCTATGGGACGGCTAAGGTGATAGGCCGCCTGTACGTGAAACGTAAGTTGGACGGTAGCGGGCAGTGGGGGTAGCGGTGGGGGGCGATGGTCAGCAGTGCCGTGGGCGGGGCTGCGCAGCGTTCCATCCATCCCACCCCATCCCACGGCAGCGGGACGGCCCACGATGCTCCTCTCCCAGTCTGAGCTCAGGGTTGCCTGGTGTCCACATCTGCAGAGCCTCATTAGGACCCAGGACTGCTACTTTTCCAAGTTAATACTTCCTGTGGGTGCACAGCGGCCCAACTCTGAGCACACAGGGGCCGGTCTAAGGGGGTCTTCTTGGCTGGTTTGCAGACACTACTTTAAATGTCTCGATGGGGCTGTGATGAGCTGAAATTGGGTTTGCACTCAGCATGCTAGATCATTGTCTCTTCATCTTCCATCGGGGTGTGGCTGTATCAAGGATGAGGATAAGGGGGATGCCAAGGGCCAGCTGGGAGGCCTCCTGGGCGGGACACAGCAGGCGCACTCTGCCCTAACCAAACGCTCATGCCCTGACCAAAGCAACATCACTTACCAGCATGACATGCCCAGAACGGGCAGCAGGGCCCTCACCAGGCAGGATTTCTCTTAGTTGCCAGCATCATGCTTCTCTTCTTTTTAAATACATACATTTATAAAAATTGTATGGACAGAGTTGAGTAGATGGAACTGCAAGGATTTGACATGGAGTACAGAGGAGTCTCCTTATCTGGTTGTGCCCCACCCCTGCCCCTGTTTACAGAACAACATCTTCAGACTCACCCCAGGGCCCTGCCTGGAACAGCACAAGCCTAGAGAATGCATTCAAAGGAAAGCGCTCTGGGAGATGTAGCCCAAGTCCTGCAGTGGTCATCTGAGCACCCTCGGCTGGCAATGTCTGCACACTATACTCCTGTAGCTGTGGAACTGTGTGGATGATGCCGGGTAACAACAGATGGCCCAGAAAAGGCTTACAATCTTCTCGTACATGATTCTGTTTTCTATTGCATTAATTTTATAACCTAAGATTAATCAGTCATTTCAATGAAACCTGCTTTCTCTGTCTCTGTCTCTCCCTCTTTTTCTTCTCCCCCTCCCATAGTCTTCCAAATCTAACTTCGTTCTAGTTGTATTACAAACCTATTATGTTCCTGATCTCAAATCACACTGCCAATGTGGAAGATTACTCGCTAAACTTGAGTGTCTGAACCTTCCCATCTTTCCTGTTCCATCTCAAAGAGCCATTGTCTTCAGCTCAAACTCTCACAGTATCGCCTTGACCTATTGCTCTCTAGAGGCATTGGTCTGACTTCTCACTCAGCTTGTCTTTACCATGACAGTCCTCCACCTTGTCCACAAAACTTCCCAGAGGCTCCTCTGGGGTTTTCTTTCTCTTTCATTCATCTTTCTTTGTGTAGAAGAAAGCTAGTAAGGAAGAGAGACAGGAAGTGTTCTCTTGGTTTCTATACCTTTAGATCCTTTCTGTCTATAAACAAGGCCCAGGTCTGCATACTTGGCCTCAACTTTCTATTTTTCTTAACGTAATACATAGAATATAAATGTTTATTCACTGATATAAATAGAACAGGACCCATCTGTTAAGTAGTCCTTTAAAAGTTGAAATACCAACATTTTAGACTTCTCCTATCGTTGTCTATATATTTCCTTTCAATTTGTTTTTTATCCAGACATCTGTGTTTTATAAATATAATACGTGCATAGTTTAGAAGCTTGTAAAGTGAAAAGAGAAAAATCCTCCTTCGGCCTCAGCTTTCTGTCATACAAATAAGAGTGTCCAATTCAACGTTTGGTGTTGAACACAGCCAATCTCCACCTCTGCCTTCTAGTGGCTCTTCTCAGAAACATCCGTCCCCTCTCAGGCCTCAGAGGTAAACTTTAAATCTTGAGTCCTCCTTGAGCCTTTCTTTCCCATGTCCAAATCTTAGAGGCTAGGTTCCATCATGCTTCTACCGTATTCTTCGCACCTCTGTGCTGCCCAAGAGGGACTCTGAGATGTAACCTCAGCCAACAGTCACAGTGTCTTCCTGACCAGTCCTCTCTACTCCAGTTTGTCTAACCAGTCTCCTAAAAGCCATTTGACTGTGCCATTCACTTACTTGGTAGTCTCCTTGTGTTAGCCCTAACTTTATTTTTAAATCTTACAGCCTTGTCCCAGACAAATCCTCCTATTATTTTTCTTCCCCAATACATTGCATTCGGATTGAGTCAGCCTTCTTCAGACCTGCCTGTTGTTCTCGGCTCACCCGGGTCCTACTCCATGAGAATCTCTCCCCATTGCTGGCATCTGAAAGTTTCCTGCTCATCCTGTAGGCCTCCTCTGTTTCCCAGAGGTCTCCGCTAGTCCCTGCACCATGGTCATCTTCCTGATTATTTGGGCACTTGTGTCAATCCATGTATCAATCCCTTGACAGTCCAAGAGACCAGCTCTCCTGGATCCAAAACTTTTCCTGGTTGTGTTGAGATATTAAATAAAAAACACCATAGTGAAAACTTTTGTTTCATTCTTTTCTTTTCTTCTTGTTCTTTTTATTTGTCAGTGGTGAGGCTTGAACTCAGGTTCTGGGTGCTGTTCCTGAGCTTTTGTGCTCAAGGCTAGCACTCTACCACCTTGAGACACAATGCCACTTCCAGTTTTCTGGTGATTCATTGGAATAAGAGTCTCATCCTGCCTGGGCTGGCTTTGAACCACGATCCTCAGACCTCAGCTTCCTGAGAGGCTAGGATCACTGGCATGAGCCACTGGTACCAGTCTTTCCTTCCTTCCTTCTATTCCTTTCCTTCTCCCTTTTGTCTTTCTTTTTCTTTTTTTTGCCACGTGCCTTTCCAGTGGATCTTGCTCAGTTACATAATATCTTGAGTAACCATTTCTTCTAGAAAATAGAAAACACAGAATTCTCCAATCATAGAAAAACTATGTAAATAACATATAAAATGTTTGGTAATTGTATTTAGCACGTGCTAGTTGTACTGCAAATATTCATCATGGTTGATCTGTCAGATTAACTCTCTCCCTGGCACCTACTCAGTAAATACTTTCTATAAATTTACTGAGTTGAAAACATAGAAATTCAGGGATGGGATGCTCTCTCTGCTCAAATCAGGTTTCATTCTCTCAGAGAAAGAATCTGTTTTATGGCCACACCCCATGTGTCTTTGGCTTTGTGTAAGTAACATATAAGGAAATGAGTGAGGGTTTGTGTGTGTGTGTGTGTGTGTGTGTGTGTTTATACATGTGTGTGTTTATATAGTAGAGGGAGGGACAGAGGTAGAGATAATAGAGACATACAAGAGAGAAGGCAGAGCTGCAGAGGAGAGAGACAGACAGATAAAAGAAAGAGGAAAAGGAGAGAGAGCAGAGTAGATGAGGCAAGCCACCAAGGCTACCTTGGGAAGGCAAGCAGGATCTAGAAGTTCTAATACTTTGCTTTGCTTGTAGTCAGTGGAGCCAGACCACCTTTCTCACCTGCATTCCAAATAAAGTATCACTCTGTTCATTCCATTGAAGGTGTTTTTGTGAGCAAAATAGTGACCCCCAAATAAGACTGACGTAAGAAATGTGTGCAGCCACGGCTGGCCGAGGCCCGGCAGGCCGAGGGATCCTTAGTGACCGGTTTCCTCTCCTCTTCTCTCCCACCTGACTCTCCAGAGCCGCTTAAGGCCACCATCAGCCCCAGGAAGGTGAAGAGCAGCGTGGGGAGCCAAGTGGCTTTGTCCTGCAGCGTCACAGGAACCGAGGGCCAGGAACTGTCCTGGTACCGCAACGGCGAGATCCTCCACCCCGGGAAAAACGTGAGGATCACAGGCCTCAACCACGAGAACCTTATCATGGATCACATGGCCAAGAGCGACGGGGGCGCCTACCAGTGCTTCGTGCGCCAGGACAAGCTGTCCGCCCAGGACTACGTGCAGGTGGTCCTCGAAGGTCAGTGGATCCTCTGGGAGCACGTGCCTGGAGCTGAGCCCCGTCCCACACACCCAGGGGTGGAGAGCGAGGGCCGGCAGGGCTGATGACCCTAACCTGTCCATCTCTCCAGATAATAACCCTACGCTCGTTTTCCAGCTAAATCAGCCAAACAAGGTCAATGATCTGTTGAGAAGGACAGAATCTTTTTCTGAGCAACATGTGTAGGCAACCATGTGGCCCAACTCAGAAACTCAAGAGCTGAGGGTGGTGTGGCCGACTCGTGTCCTCCAACCCCAGGCCTCTCAGCGATGGCTTCCTTCAGGGGCTTTGCTGGGCACAGCGGGGTGTTGGCTAGCAGCGTCTCTGATCTGTACCCACCAGACACCAAGAGTACCCCCTCCAGGTCATGCCTGCCCAAAATCCAAAATGTCCCCAAGGCCATGTCCCCTCAGCTACCCGGCAGGGGAAGGTCCAGCCCACAGCCGATATACCAAGGGAGAGACAAGTGTAGACCAAAATTTATGCTGGGGTCTCTGAGTCGAGCATTCATACAGTCAATCACTGGACTATAAGCGGAGTTGTTTGTAGAAATGAGCTTTTAGCATATTTTACTCTGCTGTTTTTAAAACTGGCTACTGAGTATTTAGATCTTACATATGTAAATCTTCAGGCTTAGGAATCAGCCAGGGAAGGAACTATGACAGGTAATATTTAAGTAAGATATATACTTATCACCGAATAATCAAACTAGCTCTTGGTGGATGTGTATGTGTGTTGTTGAAAACTGTATCATTTGTTACCATTTTTAGTTCATCTGCTATCAACTGATTGAAAGAAAGAAGCTCAGTGGTAGAGTGCCTGCCTAGCAAGCACAAGGTCCTAAGTTCAAATCCCAGCACCACCAAAGGAAAAAAAGAACTGATTTTAGATAACACCAGGGGAAGAATAAATAAAACCCACTGATACATGGCAGTAAGTTTAGGTGCCTCAATGCAAAGAGAAGGTTTCTATTAGTGCTTTTTCGACCTTTGCTGATCTGGAGCAGCAGCTGCTGATCCGTGAGATTCCTGTTTTGACTCAAGTGTTTTACGGCAGGCAGCAAGGATTTTAAGTAGGGGCCAAATCGGCTGAGGGCACCGTCTTCTGGAACACGCCTGACACCACGTTGCACATGGTAATTAAGCACAGAAAGTAATCAGTTTGCACAGAGGCAGTTCACTAATCAGGATGCACCCTCAGCCTCACAGCCACTATTTTTAGATTCCTTGTAGAAAAAAAAAGAGATTACCTGTCTAGGCCTCGTTACCCGGGTAACCATCTCCAGTGACTGAGGCAGCCTAAAGAGCACATTGATCACCCCTAATGATGCTGAAAGGGTTCAGGTTATCAAAGACTGACAGAAAGACAGATTTCAAAGACACTGGGGTCTCACTGGGAAAATAACGTCTGCTTTCATCTCCAAAGAGCCCGTCACCTGAACAGGGAGACAGGGCGGGGCACCCAGCACACACTCGCAGAGTTATTGTCACGTGACATTTCCCATTCAGCACAAGAAGCTGCATTTTATTTTTCTCTCTTTTGAGAAATGATAGTTGCTAATGCTCCGAGAGAGAACAGAAATGGAACCACAAATGGGTAGCTAGTCCAGGCCGTAAAATTGTGTCTAATGAGCGTTCTCTAAGGAAACCTTGTACTCCCCACTGAAAAAGATGTGGATTGTTAATAAAGTTGCAGAACTCACCAGACCACAGACTCCATGGGACTGTGGGTGTAGTGGAACATCGGCACGCATTTCCTAGAGGCTACATGCTCTAGAAACGACTCATGATAGATTCTGGACCAACCAGAATGAGAGGGAAATGGAGGCCTCACAGAGAACAAAGCAAGTGCGAATCCATGTCCTTTTAGCACTGAAAATGACGGGCTCTGGGAAGAGGGGAGGTGCGCGGAGGCAATGCAGAAATCCACAAAGCCGGTGGGCAGGATCGGTCCCTTAGAAGAAGGCTCAAGGACAGGGTGACAGGGGCCCGGAGAGCTGTCCCTCTGGGGACCCTGCTCAGCCCCATGATGCAGTCCAGAAGTGAGAAGGAGGCCGAGGGCTGACTCCCCCAACACTCAGGTGACAGAGGACAGGGCTGTGGGCCGCTGCACAGCTGCACATCGAGGGGCAGAGGCAGAAGTCCCAGGGATGGAACCACTAGGGTCTCCCCCAGATCTACACATAACCTTCCTTGGAATCCTGGCTGGCATCCAAACGGCCCACGTGGGAGGCAATCCTAATCTACAAGACAAAATAAAACAACTAGACACACTAAACACAAAGCCAAGTAGAATGCTGTGGCCAATTGACAGAAAAACCACACAACTCACTGAAACAGACTTTGGAGAAGACCCCGATGTTAGAACAAAGGCAGAGAAGGACTTCACTGCTGCGATTTAGAACATGTTCGGGGATTGAAAAGAAAAGATGGATCTGAGGAATCCACATACAAGAAATGCCAGAGAAATGGGGAGGATAAAATTAAACAGTTCGCTATATTTGCCTTCATAAAGCTTTGGGGGGATCTCCACAGCTTCCCACCTCTGGCCCCACAACCAGGCCTCTGACCGAGGAGAGAGTTTCCTCGTTGTAGTACGAGCTATTCGCATTGATCTTTCTCTGACAAATGACAGCAGTCCTCAGTTTTGTTTCCTCTAAAGGTTGCCCGTATTTGCCAAGTTTTCTACAATAAAAGCTTTAAAAAAAAAATCAAGTAATCTTTTAAAATTAGACCCTGTAATTGACCATATATTGGTTGTCTTTCTTTCTGTTTGTGCTAGTCCTGGATGCTGTCCCTGAGCTTTTATGCTCCATCTACCATAGCTCTACTTCCAGCTTTTTGGTGGGTAATTGGAGATAAGAGTCTTGCAGACTTTCCTGCTTGGGCTGGCTTTGAACTGAGATCCTCAGACCTGAGCCTCCTGAGTAGCTATGATTATAGGCATAAGCTATGGGGCTCTGGATTAACATATACTTAAAAAATTAAATTGGTATCCACTAGAAAAGTTAATTACTTGACTTTTTCTCTCACACACTCTCTGCCTTAAAAGAGTAGAAAGACATAAACAGGAAAGTGACATTGCTGGGGTATAAGTCCACCCTAGATCACTTGCATGCATGAGGCTCTGAGTTTACTCACCAGTTTTGAAATGGATTAAAAATTTTAAAAATGTGTTTTTTACTACTACCATATAATAACAGGGATGTAGCCCACCTAGGTAATGGTATATAAAAATCATGTCCTTGTTTAACATATTGGAAACGTCTCCAATATTAAGATTCTATTTAGCTGGGGAAGTTTTGGTTCACGGCTGTTCTCCTAACATATACCACATATAATATCTATTTTACTCTCAAAAGTACCCCAGATTAGATGATAAATTATATGCATCCATGGCTTATAATAGTTTTGAAGATGCTTATTATAAAAGAGATTGTGTGGCTATTGAACTGCAATTTGCACTTGCTGTGACACGTTCTAATGACTCTTACTCCTGAGGCAGTAATAAAGATGGCATTATCAGTCTCGCTCGCTCTCTTGCTCTCTCTCATTCTTCCCACTCATGTGCTGCTGAGAAATCCCTAGCTAGCAAGAGAAGGTAGAAAGTCACACCTGTGCTTTGTGTGTGGGTGGCAGGCGAGTGGCTGAATGGGAATGTACCCATTTCAGAGACTGGTTGGGGATCATTGGATGTTTAACGTGAATGTCTGGGTGAGACTGCAGTGCTCGTTAAAACCATCAGGAAATGGAGACGTGATTTAGGACAACTCACAGATTCTGTGACTGTCTCTGGAGCCGGTGAGGCTCATGGAAGGGTTGACATGGACTGAGATGCATTCTTTTTTTTTTTTAATTTATTTTATTTTACTTGTGAACATACTGTACAGAGGGGTTACAATTACATGGGCAGGATAATGCGTACATTTCTTACCAAGCATTGCAGCCTCCTCCTTTGTTTACCCTTCACCTCCCTTCCCAGCCTTCCCCCCCCCCCCCCCGACATTGTAAAGCTCATCGTTATGGACATGACAACTTGTACTTCTCATTGTTGCAACAGGTCCACCTGTATCCTTAAACGACTTGTTTTTCCCCATCTCCTCCACAAGTTATACTGACATCAAATATAGTGAAAGCAGGGGTTATACTGTGGGGGAGGGACATACAAAGCAACAAAGAAATAATCTTATAAATGTGTTAGAAACACATGCATGAAAGAAAAAAACATTAAAATACATATCTAAGGGTTCATTTTCCTAACATCACATTATCTGATCTTTTCCGCCAAGATGCATTCTTAAAGGGATGTGTTGAACTAAAATCCCTTTGTACCAAAAAAAAATACTTACAGATAATTTTGACAGTATATACAGATTGGGAGAAAAGCAAATAGGAAGTGGAGAGACCCTGTTCTGCTGTGTGAATTTGGTGTTTACCGGCCACTGCGTCGGCCTCCTGAGCGGTCATCACAGGTGCTGGGCAGTGGCGTGGTGATGGGTCTGGGCCACTCTCTCCATCTTTTGTTGTCCTGCAGATGGAACTCCCAAGATCATCTCTGCCTTCAGCGAGAAGGTGGTGAGCCCCGCCGAGCCCGTGTCCCTGATGTGCAACGTGAAGGGGACGCCCCTGCCCACCATCACGTGGACCCTGGACGATGACCCCATCCTCAAGGGCGGCGGCCACCGGATCAGCCAGATGATCACGTCCGAAGGGAACGTGGTCAGCTACCTGAACATCTCCAGCTCGCAGGTCCGGGATGGGGGCATGTACCGCTGTACGGCCAACAACTCAGCTGGAGTCGTCCTGTACCAGGCTCGAATAAACGTAAGAGGTGCTTGTCAAATCGGCTCCTCGAACACACACACACACGCCATTGTAGTGGAGAAAGGGCGGTGCATGCGCGTAGAATGCCCCCGCCCTTCCTGTCCTCACTCAGGAATGGCACCGACAGGGTCAGTGTTGCACACGGCATTGCCGCTTCCTCAGTCAGCTTCAGCTCTATCTTTCCTCTTAGATGTGTCTCCAGGATCTTTCCTTCCCTGGTTTATGCTCTGCATGTCTTTTCCTTTCTTCTCCTCTCCTGTTTCAGTCCACCATGGTAAGCCTCCGTGAGCATCATGGTATGTAACGTACATTTGTAGCGTGGCCTGATATAGCCTCCACCTCCATGCTGTGCTCTGTGAGAGAACCTAGCCATCACTGTCTGCTTCCAGCGTGGGTCAGACAGCACGATGGGGAAGCGTAGACCAGCCTCTGGAGACCGGTCCTGTCACCTCCTGGGCTGTCCCTTAAGACGGGTTAATAGACGTAAGCTGATAACAAAAGTATTTAACATTCCTTGGTTAACCATAAAGGGCAGACATTTCTTCTCCATAGAAAATGCCAAATGCTGGGGGGAAATTTTTGTTTTTTACGCCAATGAAAAATAATGTTTTCACCTCAAGGAAAGATCTATCCATTTCTTCACCTGAGACGTCTGTGTCCTGGAATTATTTTCAAGAGTTTCTTTGTGTCTTTCCAGGGCCTGCAAGCATTCGACCCATGAAAAACATCACAGCCATAGCAGGACGGGACACATATATTCACTGTCGAGTGATTGGCTACCCCTATTACTCCATCAAATGGTACAAGAACTCGAATCTGCTTCCTTTTAACCACCGCCAGGTGGCATTTGAGAACAATGGGACGCTAAAGCTCTCTGATGTCCAAAAAGAGGTTGATGAGGGCGAGTACACGTGTAACGTGTTGGTACAGCCACAGCTCTCCACCAGCCAGAGCGTCCACGTGACGGTGAAAGGTAACCATGACCCCTGACCCCTGACCCCCCCAGCCCCCACAATCCAGCCTGGAGCCTGGTTTTATCTCCAGTGCTCTGGAGATGTCTAGGATCTGGGTGGAGGAAGGCAGCTGTGAAGGCCGTGGAAGGATGTGGTTGTGGAGTTTGCCCTGCCACTACATGCATACAGGACTGGTTTTCTCCCAATGTGGCTGTGGCTGGCTAATTTCCCAGAGGCAAATGTGTTGCTAACATAATCATGGCACAAAAAAGAGAAGGAGAGAGAAAGAGGAAGGAAGGAAGGAAGGAAGGAAGGAAGGAAGGAAGGAAGGAAGGAAGGAAGAAACATATCATGTTGTCTTGTTCTTTGTCAGCTCATTTTCAAACAGATGCATTTCTTTTCCTAAAGATTCCTAAAAGCAAATTCTTTTTTCCTGCTGGGGCTTGAACTTTCCTTCCTAGGGCTTGAACTCGGGGTCTGGGCACTGTCCTTGAGGTTTTTTGTTGTTTTTTTTTTTTTTTCTGTCAAGGCTAGTACTCTACCACTTGAGCCACAGCTCTACTTCTGGATTTTTTGGAAAGTTATTCGAGATCAGAGTCTCACAGGCCTTCCTGCCCTGGCTGGCTTCAAACAGCAGTCCTCACCTCTCAGCCTCCCGAGGAACGAGGATGACAGTGGGGAGCCACTGGCACCCAGCCAAAAGCGTGTTTTTTTAAAAGCAAATTCTTTTTAAAACCTACCTGGGAGAGGTTTGCTGTAGTGGACAGAAACTTCAAACCATGACCTCCTCTTGAGTGGAGCGAGGAGGAGGGCAGCACTGCAGGGTAGGGATCGGTGATTCAAGTCCAGGCGGACACAGCCCATCCATCTGTACATCCTGGTGTTGGCCTCCACCTGTCAACATGCTCTCTGGGTCTCCAGTTCCATCCCTGCGTCCTTACCAGCAGAAGCTGGTAGAGCATACCACTCCGGTGGCCGATGCCTAAGGAACCATCTTTCCTATTCTCTAGTCAGTTTCCTCAGAAGATCAAAGACCTTTTCCGTTGTATGGACGTCTTTATGAAGTCCACCATGCAAAGCCTCCTCCCCATCGGCACCTGTCACCCACCACGCCGAGCTCCCGGTCAGCTCCCCAAGTGACACATCCTCCGATCCTCCTCAGGACCCTGTGGTGACATTTCTATGATTGTCCCCGATCTTCTTCCCACAAACCCTTAGTTTTACTATTGTGTGAGTGTGACACTGAGTTTTGAATTTGGCTCCCCATGCTTACCTTGGCCCTCTGAACTTTTTTGGTGCTGCAAGACTTTGCTTTTAGGTTGTATGTTTTTGCCCCAGGCTAGCCTCAGCTCTCCATGTGGATGGAGGGGCCACAGACACCCCACCCCATGGAGTCGTGATAACTTCTTGCCTAAGCTAGACTTGGACTCTGATCTTCCCATATTATCTCTTGAGAGGCTGGGACTACAATACCAGCCCCAGCTTTACTTTTTTTTTTTTTTAGTTCCTTTTTTTTTTTTTTTATTGTAAAGCTACTATACAGAGGGTTACAGTTACATGAGTGAGGTTATGAGTACACTTCCTCTTGAACATTGTTACCCCCTCCATTGTTTTCCCCCTACCATCCCCTCCCTCCCTCCCTTCCCCGAGGTTCTTTTTTTTTTTTTTGATTGTGATTAAATGATTACATAATTTCAAAGTCACAAGTTCATTCTAACTTCCCTGGAGCAAATTGTCTACCACAGTCTGTAATATATAACAGTGTTCACATGTTATATACCATATTTGTGATCAGCAGCATGGGGATATTTAGTAGTGGTTCAACCAGATGAGCGGGAGTTCTTTGTTTCTTAAGTCCTGTTAGTTTTATCGTATCACCTAACCTTTTGGATTTAGCATCCACTTATCAGGGAGACCATGTACCGTTTGTCTCTTCGTTCTTGGCTTACCTCGCTCAACATGATTCCTTCTAGCTCCATCCATTTCCCTGCAAATGCCATTATTTTGTCATTTCTAATGGCTGCATAATATTCCATTGTGTATAGATACCACAATTTTTGGATCCATTCATCTGTGGTGGGGCATCTAGGTTGTTTCCATATCCTGGCTATTGCGAACAGTGCTGCAATAAACATGGAGGTGCACGTGTACTTGTATATTGGTTCCTGTTGTTCAGGGTAGATGCCTAGAAGTGGTATGACTGGGTCGTAAGGGAGGTCAATCTTTAGCTTTCTAAGGACCCTCCAGACTGCTTTCCATAGTGGTTGTATAAGTGTACATTCCCACCAGCAGTGTAACAGGGTTCCTCTTTCTCCACATCCCCTCCAGCATTTGTCGTTGGCTGATTTGTGGATGTGGGACATTCTGACTGGGGTAAGGTGGTATCTCAGGGTTGTCTTTATTTGCATTTCCTTCACCACCAGGGATGATGAACATTTCCTCATGTGTTTCTTTGCCATTTTTATTTCTTCATTTGAGAAGTCCCTCTTTAGTTCCCTTGCCCATTTAGTAATTGGTTTGTTAGGTTTGGGAGGGATTAGTTTCTTGAGTTCCCTGTATATACAGGATGTTAACCCCTTGTCTGATATATTGCTGGTAAATATTTTTTCCCAATTAGTTGGTTGTCTTTCTAGCTTAGTTGCGATAGATTTAGCTGTGCAGAAGCTTTTTATTTTAAGGTAGTCCCATTTGTCGAGTCTCTCTCCAACTTGTTGTGACCCTGGGACTCTGTTCAGGAAGTTCCTTCTTGTGCCTATTAGTTCAAGTGTCTCTCCTACTCTGTCCTGTAGTAGTTTCAGAGATTCAGGTTTAATGTTAAGGTCTTTAATCCATTTTGAGTTGATGTTGGTGCATGGTGATAGGCTGGGGTCCACTTTTAGTTTTCTGCATGTGGCTGCCCAGTTTTCCCAGCACCAGCGGTTGAAGAGGCTGTGTTTCTTCCATTGTATGTCTTTGGCTCCTTTGTCGAATATCAGCTGGCTGTAGGCCTGTGGATTTATATCTGGATCTTCTATTCTGTTCCATTGGTCTTCGGGTCTGTTTTTGTGCCAGTACCATGCTGTCTTTGTGATTATCACTCTGTAGTAGAGTTTGAAGTTCGGCATGGATAGCCCTCCCATATTGTCTTTATCCCCTAGAATTGTTTTGGCTATTCTAGGTCTTTTGTTGTTCCATATAAATTTTTGGACTGTTTTCTGTATTTCAGTGATGTACGTCATTGGGATTTTAATAGGAATTGCATTGAATTTGTATATTAGTTTTGGAAGTATCACCATCTTTACTATATTAAGTCGGCCTATCCAGGAGCATGGGAGGTCTTTCCATTTCCTAGTGTCTTCTGCAATTTCTTTCTTTAACTTTTTATAGTTCTCATTAAATAGTTCTTTTACATCTTTGGTTAGGTTAATTCCTAAATATTTTATTTTTTGGGAGGTTATTGTGAATGGGGTTGCTCCCTTTATTTCCCTCTCTTCCTGTGCGTTATCAGTGTATAGGAAGGCAACTGATTTTTGTGGGTTTATTTTGTATCCTGCTATTTTGCCGAAGTGACTTATGATTTCTAAAAGTTTGGGGATGGAGTTTTTGGGATCGTGGAGGTATAGTATCATGTCGTCTGCAAAAAGGGATAGTTTCACTTCTTCTTTCCCTATGCGGATCCCTTTAATGTCTTTTTCTTGCCTTATTGCCCTGGCTAAGGGTTCTAGGACTATGTTGAAGAGGAGTGGAGACAATGGACATCCTTGCCTTGTTCCTGTTTTTAGGAGGATTGGTTGTAGCTTTTCCCCATTAAGTATAATATTGGCTATTGGTCTGTCATAAATGGCTTTTATTGTTTTTAGAAATGTTCCTTCTATTCCTATTTTCTCCAGAGCTTTTAGCATGAATGAATGTTGAATTTTATCAAAGGCCTTTTCTGCATCTGTGGCGATAATCATGTGATTCTTGACCTTGGCTCTGTTGATATGCTGGATTACATTTATTGACTTATGTATGTTAAACCATCCCTGTGTCTCTGGGATGAAGCCTACCTGATCATAGTGTATTATTTTTTTAATGTGTTTCTGGATTCTGTTAGCTAGAATCTTGTTAAGGATCTTTGCATCTGTGTTCATCAAGGAGATTGGCCTGTAATTCTCCTTTTTGGTTGGGTCTTTGCCTGGTTTGGGGATGAGTGTGATATTGGCTTCGTAGAATGAGTTTGGGATAGCTCCCTCCTTCTCTGTTTCTCTGAAGAGCTTGAGGAGTATGGGTATTAGTTCTTCTTTAAAGGTCTTATAGAATTCTGCTGTGAATCCATCTGGTCCTGGGCTTTTTTTTGTTGGAAGACTTTTGATAGCTTCCTGTATCTCATTATAGGATATTGGCTTATTTAATTGGTTAACTTCTTCTTTGCTCAGTTTGGGTAACTTGTATTTCTCTAAAAATGCAGCCATTTCCGCCAGATTTTCTTCCTTTAGAGAGTATAGCTTTTGAAAGTAGTCTGTTAGAATTGTTTGGATATCTTGGGTACGTGTTGTGATGTTTCCCGTGGCATCCCTAATCCTATTAATATGGGTTTCCTCTCTTCTTTTTTTAATTAATCTTGCCAACGGGCCATCAATTTTGTTTATTTTTTCAAAGAACCAGCTTTTTGTTTGGTTTATTTTGGTTATGGTTTTCTGATTTTCTAATTGGTTAATCTCTGCTCTCAATTTGGTTATCTGGCTTCGTCTAGTAGCTTTAGGTCCCATTTTTTCTTGTTTTTCTAGCTGTTTTAGTTGCAACATGAGATTATTTACTTGGTCTGTCTCCATTCTCTTGATGTGGGCACTGAGGGCAATAAATTTGCCCCTCAGGACTGCTTTTGCTGTGTCCCACAAGTTTCTTTGTGAGGTGTTTTCATTTTCATTGAGTTCTAGGAAATGCTTTATTTCTTCTCTGATCTCTTCTGTTACCCAGGCCTTGTTAAGGAGTGTGCTGTTCAATTTCCATGTATTAGAGAAATTTCTGCGGTATGCTTTGTTATTGAGAGCTAGCTTGA